AGCCCGATGAAACAGAAGAAAAGGTGTTTAACTTGTGATAATTGAAAAATGGAAATTCATGGGATCGCGAAATCATGTTACATCATATCATAGGCTCGTGAAGACAGAGATTGAAAAATTTAAAGTAGCAGATCATCCTTAGAAATGGAAGAAGTCACGCTATTTTCTTTTTCTTCAATGAATAACGTTTTGTGATACAGCAGCCAAAGGTGCAAATATTTCTTTAAAAAAAGTCCTCTTGCTATAAAATTCTCACAGGACATTTTTATACTGTGAGATGCTTCAAACCAGGGAAGGAAAACTTCCACTAATTTAGTCATTTGTATTCAGCATCACTCTTGGAGACCAGACCAAGGAATTTCTTAAAGTAATCTACCAAAATTTGCTGTAATTCACAGCTATTGAAAAGAATAAAACACCTTTTTTCCCCTTGATTATATTAATATGATTCTGACAGTCTCGAAATGGCATTTTGAAAAAACGACGGTACCTAGAAACATCAAATTTGAATAATTTAATACATTTTGAATAAATTAACGTAATTCTCCATCCGAACATCTCTGCAAGCCCAAATTTTGAATTTCGAATTTTTTTATTGTCTGTTTCATGTTTTGCAAACTTTTAATTAAAGAATTTTTGATTAATGAACTCAACGATTTCAACGCGAACAATGGCAACACTGAACGGGAAAAAAAAAAACTTTTAGCTCTAGCGCGCGCGAGATCGTCTAACGAAAATTCTAAAGATATACTGTTTTTAAATACTTTTAGCCTAGAGGGACATTAGCCTAAATGGTCTTAACGTGCATGTGTGTAAATGGAGAAAAAAAGGCCTCTTTGGGCGTAATATTAAATCTGAAATCTTTCAGATTTTATTTATTTACTTATTTTTATTTTATTTAGTTATTCGTTTGTTTGCTTTATAAAGAAAAGTATAACTGTTCATGATGATTTTCGCTTTCCTAACTTTTAATCATCAACCTTTTTGATATTTCCAGGCTACTTTCTGTCTTATGAAAGAAACTCACCTTCGAAAACGTTTTGAGACTATTTTGAAAATTCTGGAAGTTCAGCAAGTATTCCAACATTTGACTACTATGAATTGCATCAGAAGAAAGTCACAGAAGCTTAAGCAGTCACAAAGTTATTTTCTTCAGGTCTCGATTTGTTATAAATTTAGTCCTAGAATTTGATAATTTAATTTATATGCTTAACGAGCACACAGAAATCTTAACTGAGGAAAACTGTCATTAATTAAAAAAAAAAAAAAAAAAAAAAAACTTTAAGTGATGATGTTCAGTACCTTAGGGACAAAATATGTGAAAAAGAAAACATCCCTTTCTTTCTAGACTTAATGGAATTCTAATCTAAAATTCGTGTCAAGCAAATCAAATATTTAATGCATTCATGTTATCAGATCAAAGGAATTTTTTTTTTCATTGGCGGGAGTCTCAATAGAAGCATTGTAACTTTCTTTTGAATGCCATTTTCAAATGAAAAAATATGAGGTGGAATTCATAATCCAGAAGTAGGGAAAGTCAGCAATTACAAGTTCGTGACTTTGGCCAACCGGCTTCAATGTCTCTCAGGTATCTGTTGGATCTCATTAAAGACCATTCTTGGGACTTTATTATCCGATGCAAATCATTTTCTATGATAACCATGTGCAACTTAAATTCGCGACACGAATGAAAGTAATCTCTCCAGACTACAGCTGAAAATAATTTAAACAATTCTTTTGTTCTGGACTCGGGCAGTAATAAGACGCAAAAATTTATGATAGTTTCTCTCTATCTATAACGGCTCGTTATTAAAACAGAAATCATAGCGAAGCAAATACAATGATGGTAACGAAGCTAATGTTGTCGATGAAGGTAAAACCCCAAATTTCGTTGAGAATACTAAATATGTTCAAACTGATAACGCGTATTTACTTTCAATTGTGTTTAAGTTAAATTCTACCTTTAAAAGTTTGATATGTTTGAGGATATAAAATCCTTGTGTTTAGATAATAAACAACAATCACCTACTAATGACCTATTAACACATCCTATCTTTTGGATTTTTAGAAGTATTGCGTTGTTCGGAAAGTAAATTCATTTTTTCCCAACAGAGGGTTTAATTGCATTTTTTCACAGCCAACTTCACACTTAAACCGCATAATCATTATATATTTTGACAAGTCATATGCCAAGGCTTTCTTGTGAAAAAGTTCGATATATTCTATACAGTAATTTTTGGTTGGTGCCCTTTCAAATACGAAAAGTAAAAAAGCAGCATTTTCGGCATGTTTTGCTTTCTTGCTATTGAAAAGGTAAGAATGCTGTTCAAGCAAGAAACAAATTATCCGATGTGTGTGGAGAAGATGTATTGACAGAACGCCAGTGCCAAAACTGATTTGAAAATTTTCAATCCGGTAATTTTGATCTTGAAGATGCACCTCGTTCTGGACGCTCAGTTGAAGCTAATGGAGAGCTTAAAACATGAAGAACACATATCTGAGCTCTGAGATTAAACTTAGACGTTTCAAATGACCATAAACGGTCGAATTCGATAAATTTAATCTCTCAGCGATCTCACGAGTTGTTATTCGCCGGTTTACATCAATTAATGCTTTTATTGTGTCTTCATCAGCTTCAACTGGCCTTCCAGAACGTGGTGCATCTTCAAGATCAAAATTGCGGGATCGAAATTTTGCAAACCCAGTTTTGGCATTAGCATTCTATCAATACATCTTCCCCATACACATCGGATAATTTGTTTCTTGCTTGAACAGCATTTGAATCTTTCCATAGTAAAAAAGCAAAGTATGCCGAAAATGCTGCTTTTCACTTTCCATATTGGAAAGGGCACCAACCAAAATCAGTCGAACTTTTTGACAAACAACCTTGGTTGTATCAGCTGTCAAAATATATAATGATTATACAAGTGTGAAGCTGTCTGTGAGGAAATACAATTAAGCCCTCTGTTGGAAAAAAAAAACGAAATTACTTTCCGAACAACTCATAAAAGCTGCTATATCTACCAAGCTATATAATGGAATTAGTGCAAATGTAAAAGCATTAAAATTTGAAATTTTCAAAGCAACTTTAAATTTCTATATCTAATTTTTCTTTCCTACGTACATCAAGAATTCGGCAAATAGACAGCTGTAAATTCAAGCAGATTTTAAATAAAGCTCTGGTAACTCCGAGGGTTAACTGATACAGATCCCTATCTTCATGGTGAAGGGAAAAACAATTGTATTGTACTTAATTTTATGTCGGAAGTGATTAAATTCTATATAGATGTACATCTATATTTTTGATTCTGAATTCATGTAGTTTTATTATTTCTCAAACGAAAGTACAGTAGTTATGAAATAAAAATTACATTGCAGACTTTTTCAGCAAAATATTTTTTCTGGAAAGAAAATATTCTAAAACGATATTTAATATAAACCACAATTATTGTTGTCCTGTTGTTGTCCATGTATGTCACGGAAGAATGATTGCCAGAACCTCAAGGAGGTTGTACTTTTACTTCCACCCGAGTTTTGAGAGACAACACCCCCAGGGAGGTCCGAGGGTCTCCCACCTCTTTTCCCTTCCACCAAACCACACGAGAGAACTTTCAGTTCGCCATATATTTAGAGTGCCCCCATACCGCAAAGATAGTGTACATTTACAAACATCCATACCTTCTCCGAGATTAGAACCCGAGCCCATCTATGCCACAGTAGGCTACCCTAACCACTATACCGTTTGAGCGGCATACAGCACACTTAACTAATATTCATTTATTACTATATTATAATGCCTTTCATTACTATGTTATAATATAGTAAGTAATTATCAGTTAAATAAAACTGCTAAATTATTTTCTTTTTTTCTTTGTATTAAAGGAATATATATAATATATATTTTATATATATTCCAGTTTATATTCCAGTTTCATTCAGTGATCAAGTTCGGCTAGCGTTAACATTTTATGTGGAATTAATTAATTAATTTATTTATCAGTTCATTCAAAACATAGCAGTTCTTTTACGCTATATAACAATTCTTCAAAGGAAATCTTCTCTTTCTGTGGTTATTAAAGCTGTTGCTGCAATTACTAGTTTCATCAGTGGAAGATTATTAATTTAGCTTTTAAATTATAGTAGAATTACAACAAACCAATTAAAATTTTGCTTGAGAAAAAGACTGACGTAAAATATGTTCACTATCCTCACGCTCGAAGCAAGAGGAAAAATTCTACCCTTTCTTTCCAAACTTAATGAAATTCTAATTTCAGGAAACGTTTTCATGAAAATGAGAAATTTAAAAATAATATACCTTTTCAGTTCTTAACATTTCGATTTTTATTGGCAATAAGATATATTTGTATTATCTATGAGATTAGTAATTGTTATATATATAAATATATATGAGAAGAGAAATTGTAGTTAGCTCGCGAAAAAGTTACCAAAAGCTCTGTGGCTCCAAGAAAAATCCAACATATGCATATTCAGTAGTTTTTACATGTTCGAATAAAAAACTATATGTTAAAAGCCAGAGTGGACCTCGAATTGAGCTAATTTACCTTTTTCCACTTTTTAATTTTTAATGTGTTTTTTAACTTGTTTCATCGATTGTTTTTTTTAACTTTGTTTTAATTTTTGCCTTTAACTTGTTCCATCGATTAGTATTTTACTGCGTTTTATAATTTACATTTTATTTCGCGTGTAGCCTAATTTATCACCTCATTCAATTTAATTAGTTTTTTAAAATTGTGTTAAAATTTCCGAAATTATTTAACATATAGTTTTTTATTCGAACTTGTAAAAACTACTGAATATGCATATGTTGGATTTTTCTTGAAGCCACAGCTTTTGGTAACTTTTTGGCGAGCTAACTACAATTTCTCTTCTCATTTCCTTAATTTTGCAGCACATTGCGCAAAAAAGTTTGACCAAAATTGGTCTTTTTTGTATAATTCTTACAACTTTACTTATAATAATATAAATATATAAGTATATACTTATTATGTGCCTTCGTTATAGAACTTGTTTGTAGTTAAATTATCATACACCATCATCTGCAACAAAAATGAAATAAATGAAAACAATTTTTTAAATAAATATATTCATGTTAATCATCTTTATGTTACTTTCTTTTTTCATCCTCTGCCCATTTTTTACTTCCTTGTACGAAATAAAGGAAGTGCTATAATCAGGAAAAATTTCGGGTATCATTTCAACAGAAATATTCATTTTGACAGTTTTCTGATATATTTGAACGATTTTTTGGGGGGCTTAATATCTGTACGTAGGGACAGATTAAAGTACTGTTTTTCTCCAAAACGGATTGTAAAATGGATTTTTAAGTGGATTCAAAAGGTATTTTTCGTGACATCTGTACGTATGTATGCATTATGCATGTATGTATGTATCTCTCGTAACTCAACGATTAGCCGTAGGACTTTGATGAAATTTTATATATGGCAGTGCTATAGTATTTAGTTGTGCAACTTCCTTTTTATTGCAATCGGCAGAATATTCCCTTACATATTCCCTTACATTCCCCTATACATATTCCCTTATCCGGCCTTCATTTTTCACAGTTGTAGGTCATAGTCATATATTTCCAATTAGAGAAGTGTTCTAATGACGAAAATATTCGTATTTTGGCAATGTCAAATAACGAAAAAATTAATTTTCGACAAATAACGAAATCCAACTTTTAATGTGGTCTCTAGGTTCTTGTACTTATATTTGGAAAAGTCATATACTCGTAATTAAAAAATAAATGTAGAAGTTTTGAGTCCCCTACTGCAAAAATTGACTGGGATATTTAATCTCAAAATTTGCAGTTTTTGATGTCATTTTCCATTTGCCTTGTGAAATCGGTTAATTAAGTTAAACTATAAAAAAGTTTAAATGAACTGCAGAAAAAAAATGTGTATAATTTTATAGGCCGTACAAGGAAATCCTGTTGTATCCGCATCAGCTTTTTAAAATTAAAAAAAAAAAAAAAAAAAACTCTTTATAAAATGTCAGCAGTTGAACATTACTCTGTTTATGAAGTGAAATGCCAAAAGAAATGCAACTGTGTAAGATTTTTTGCGATTTTATTTTACCAAAGTTGGGTTTGGAAAAAGTTGCAAATTATTTTGTGTTAACACGACGTATAGGATATGTAAAACTATATTTTTCATTATACATTTCTTTGGTTTACATATTATACATGTAAATGAATATTACTGATTGAAGAAACTAATACAGAATTTTCATGGCATTGCACATTTCACGTTAAAACGATACCAACTCAGGATATCTTTTAGTTGTTAACCTCGTATCATTTGCGTTAGACTGCAGTTTGAATTTATTTATTCATTTATTATTTAACTTTCTAGAATAATAGTAGTAGTAACTAGTAAGGATACAGTAGGTATTGTAAGGATACAATACCGAGGAAGGGGGTAATCATTGAATTAATTCTACAAGGAAACATACCAATAAATAAATAAATTAAAATAAAACAAAAAACAAAAAAATCTGAAGACTTTCAGATTTTACATTACGCCCAAAAGAACTTTTTTTTAACGTTTTCTATGTTACTTTTATTTATTAAATATCATGGGTTTCGCACTTAAACCATAAAATTCAATTCAATAGAAATATTGCAAAATAATTTTAGAGCATATCTTTAGAATTTCCGACATACAGTCTCGTGAGGTGCAGATAAAAATGTTTTTTCCCCGTACAGTGTTGCCATTGCTCGCTTGGAAATCGTTGTGTTTGTTAATCAAAAATTCGTTAAAGTGCTACAAAATATGAAATCGATAATAACACAAATTCAAAAAGTTGGGCTTCCAGATGCCCATGTTCGGGTGGAAACGTACGTTGTTTTATCACAATGGAAGAAACATGCATACATTTATACATATTCTTAATTATTTAATTTCTTTAAATAAACAGGGTGATAATATTTGGTGGCAACAAGTTGAAAAGTTAATTTATAGTGAATCAACACAAAATTCCAAAACGAAATTAATAGTCCTTCTGTGCTAACGCCCTAATAATATTTCAGCAGAAAAATAAATTACAAGAAAGTAAACTTTTAGAGGTTATTTATTTGGTTCTCCTAAGTTGAAAATAAAGAGCAAAATTCTTTATGCTTGTTTTATTTTTACTGCTTGTTTTTAGTTTCAGTAAAAATTTTCTGTTACTTGTGCAAATTTTAACGACTTCGAAAACAACATCACTGCAACTTCCACGAGTGCATTTTATATTATTTGAAAGGTAGAAGAAGCTTGTATAGAGAGTTGATACGTTTTCCATTTGTTAATTCCAACTATTGAAAAACGTTCAAATTTGAATGTTAATAAATGAAAACCAATTTCAAAAGATTAGGCGATTATATATTTCTTCAATTGTTGGTTGTAGGCATTTAGCTTCGTAATAAACCATCTAATAATGACTTTAAGACCGCAGCAATTTTGATCGCATGATCCATTTTAGTAAAAATATATGAAACTTAAATATTACAGTGGCTCTTTCTTAAGAGGTTAAGAGGGCTTCCAATTAGTAAATTATCTTGATATACTATTAAAACCATTTAGGGAGCACAGACGTCCGTCATATGCAAAAGGAATTGCAGAAAAGAGGGCTAAAATTATGTAATTTAAATCATTTTTGTTAGAAGAAGGATGTGAAAGAAAAGTGAGAATAGTAGTTAATAAAGAGTGAATTTCTTAAATATGAAATTACGGCATTTTTACATCTGGTAATCTGAATCTTGGTCTTTTTAAAAACATTGTCGCGTAGATGAAGGGATCGTACAAAAGAACAGGTAAGTACTTATGTCTAAACTCAAGACTTTTATTATTTCAAACTGAATGAAGAACATCAGTTGTATAACTGATGAATATGCTGGAACATTCCAGACTCGAAATGTCCTGGACTTAAAGAAACGGATTAATAAGAAGGGCATTTACATAAAAACCAATTACCAGGTATCTTGCCTTTGATAGGTTCCGAACCCGGGATCTTCGGGTTTCGAGTCCTGCGTCTTCTCCACTAACCTATGAGGAGCTCAGTCGAAAGGAGCAATTTTCGCTACTGAATGTTCTTCTAACGGAAAAGATACTAACATAAAAGGGCTATTAATTTCATTTTGGTATTTTGTGGCGTTTCACTTTTCAGCTTATTGCCACCAAATATTAGAGCCCTGCATCATGATTAAAGACATTACATGATGAAGAATATGTATGAATGTATGTACGTTTCTCGCACTGTGAAAAAAAACAACGGTACCTAGAGACAACAAATAAGCGTAGTCCTCCATTCGAATATTAATATCTGGAAGCCCGAATTTGGAACGTGTATTATTATCTATTTCGTATTTTGCAAAATGTTAACGAATTTTTTGATTAACAATTCAAAGCGAGCAATGGCAACACTGTACAGAAATAAAATTATTTTATCTTCAATGCGTGATACAGTGTATCAGAAATTATTTGGTATATTGCTGTTGAATTGAATTTTATGTGGTTTAAGTGTGAAGAACATGATATTTAATAAATAAAGGTAACACACAAAGCGTTAAAAAAAGACGCCCTTTCGGGCGTAATATAAAATCTGAAAGCTTTCAAATATTTTTCTTTTTAATATTTATAAACAATTCTCAAAGTATTTTAACTAATAATATATTTGCTATTTTTTATGATTATGAGGATGGTAATTTTTATTTAATTAATTTATTTATTGAAATGCAAGATAAAAAATTCGGCAGTACTTGAATAGTTCGCCATGGTTTCATTGACATGACCCATAATAATTTAAATTTGACGTATTTTTAATAAAGACTTTTGTAACTAAATTAGCCGTAGCCGTAATATGAAAGACCTTTTTATTTGACTCATTCCTTGTTACTATGATTCTAAGACCAACTATTCGAGAGCTATCTTTTTAAGCAAATCATATATTTCCCATAAATTGAAAGCAATCTATCGCTAAGTTTTAACAGTGGTTACTTAATAGAGTAGGTAAAGGGAATTAGATGACTTAATGCATGTTTATTGCCCATGCAATAAACACAATAGCGTGAACATTAACACTTGATAACACGCGTCACGCAACAAACGCCACTTCATAATCATACGAATAGAACTTTATGATACAATTAGCTTTCTGCACAGCCGGCATGCCATTGATTGAAAGCTGCTGGTAGTAGATTCTTCGGGGAGAAAGGTTCGAAGATAATCATTTGGGACTGGGAATATTATTATGAGTAAATAACCCGTTGTCATTATAAAATCAGTAATGTTTCTGCTATGGAAATGAACGCAACTTCTGTCATAGGATTGGACTGATCGGATATGCTAATAATGCATTACCGGTCGAGGTGACTGGGAAAGTGGACAGAACATAAATCATCTCCGCAGAGATATGCCGTAAATCTGCTTTGCAAGGGAGATGATGCTTTATACTTCGATTCGTTATTTGTTGCGGAATAAAAGGTGCCTGGATCTTCATATCACGCTTGCTTTATAGACTTGCCAACGAGGTAATAAAGCAGTTTCTAAACTTTATGATAGGTGTCCCAGAACATACCCCTTAATTCTCTGAAAATAGCTGAGAAAATTTATATTTGAACCGTGCAAAGAAATACAAACAAAAATAAAGTAGAATATGTGAATAGGATTTACTGCAATTCAATATCCAAATTAAAATGCAGATCTAGGAAGTTCTTGCAAATTAAAGTTAGAATTTTCATTTACTTCTTTTCCTGTGTTAAGAACTTAGATAAAATTCTCCCGATAATTTATAACAGCTCCTTAAGTCTTTTTTTTTTTTTTTTTTTTTTTCAATTTCTTCTTGATATTAATATGTTTGTAATAAATCTTTCCAAAATGCTTCATTTCAGAATTTTAATCCCCATCACATGATTCTTACATAAAGCTAAATGGCACATATATATTTCTGTAAAGACAAAAATTAAAGTAAAATCTTTTCCCAATTGGAATTACATGAACACAATAATTAAGTCAAAAAAGCGGTTTTTATGTTCCCCAATTGCAAAGTTAATTTAGTC